CCCACCAAGGTGAAGGGAGTAAAATTTGTTTAAAGTGTCTTTCCTAAGGACACAATGTCAGGCCCCTGAAGGGATTTGAACCCACAACCTTAACCCCATCCATGCGCCCTGGGGTCATTTTGTACCCCCGGAGTTGTATTTTTTCACATTTTAGAATACTTCTAGTTGAAAGATCTCTTTGAAACTTTCAGTATTTCTCAAAAAATCATTTTGACAGACTGCTATGCAAAGCGTATGGATTGGATTAACGAGTAAATTTCCTTATTGAAAAGTGGTGACCCAGAGTTCCCCACGTCGTATGGATACGACAGTAAAACGTGATGTACAGATAGGGTTAAGTGGTGACCCAGAGTTCCCCACGTCGTATGGATACGATAGTAAAACGTGACGTACAGATAGGGTTAAGGTTGCGAGCCTGAGAGGCTAACCACTAAGCCACCAACACAACATGGAGACGGAGGAGAGACGTCTCTGTACAGCTGGAGAAAAGTGACTCAGAAATGGGACACATGTTGATGGAAAGAACTTCCTTCACCAGTGTCTGTGGCGAAGCAGTTACAGCACTTCGCTGTCGCACACAGGAGACCAGAGTTCAATTCCTGAGTGGGAAGAAAATGTGAGGCAGCGTGGTGGAATCAGGCTCTCGTCAATTTTTGGGCCGGTAGAGTTATTGGTATCATCATAAAGCTTGTTCACTTGTCTTTATTTCGATGAAAAAAATATCCATTTATCTTGAATACAAGTCGGGATATTTGCGAATGAAGGAGGTGGAGGTCACCTGTTTTCAGAGGTAAAATCAATGAGAAAATTAACAAACCTGCGGAAAAATGCAAGTTTCTTCACTTTGATTATTTTGACGAGAGTCTGATTCCACCACGCTGCCTCACAAATTTTTATCGAGTATCTCAATCTTTCTGCAGATATTGGAAGTTCCTAAATTGATACTAGTCGATACGGAGGTTTCTTTTAGAGAAACGAAGGAAGGCCCTTCACTTTCGAAACCTTAAACAGTAACTGAGATAACATGGGATGGATTAAAATACTTTTTGTCTACTCTTACATACATGCACTATAGTAGGTGTACACTCGCTCAGTTGCAGCCATTTTTACTATCGGCCTCTTGTCATTCCTTGGTCAGAAGTCAGAAGTCTGAGAATACTATTCGTCAGTATTTGAATAGGCCTGGTACATTTTGATATACAAGCGTTGTGTCCCTTGTTTTCAAACGATTTCCTTAACCAGTACTGGGAATCGACCGATACTGAATTTCTTAGTCGATATCAGTATTCGTGATTGGCTGATATAGACTAACGCTCATCCCTAGCATGAATGTTCATACATACCGCCTCTATATTAATGCTTACTCATGAGCAGACATTCATACTATCACAGCACAATCACACTATCACAGCTCAGTTGATGATGATATCAAGCATATCACAATAGGAACCAAAGAGTATTTTGAATGAGAATGATTAACTATAATTAAGATTTGGAAAAATAACAACATGTTAGCCATTATGAACTACAGTCTACAGAGATCATCTAATTTCTATTTCAGTTCAGTTCAGCAACATTATTAACCCAGCATGACACTAATGACAGTACTGTCAGAGCAGAAGCCTGTACCGTGTCACTGACATCGTCATAAGAGTTTTCTCAATGTGCGTGTATCACATTCAACTTCCATTCTTTAAAAATGTCTTGAAATGGTAAGGTCCTTAATTCCTTGCATACAAAAAACACAGGTCCAATTAATTCTCATACAGGGAGGATATTTTATCAGGATTCTCCTTCTTTCTGCTGGGTTATAGTCTCCACATAAGCAGGGGTTGACTTTTACAGGCAAGTGTGATTAAAGGAGCCTGACTCTTGCAAGATCTTGGTTAACCCTATCCGTACCCCCCTGGGGTCATTTTGTACCCCCAGGGTTGTATTCTTCACATTTTAAAATACTTCTAGTACGAAGATCTCCTTGAAACTTTCAGTATTGCTCAAAAAATCATTTTGACAGACTGCTATGCAAAGCGCACGGATCAGATTAATGAGTAAATTTCCTCTTTGGAAGTGGTAGCACAGAGTTCCCCACGTCATATGGATATAATAGTAAAACATGATGTACGGATAGGGTTAAGTGGAAGGGTTTTCTGTAAACATATGTGCCATGGCACAGTGGAATCAGGTGCTCTTAAATTCTTGGCCATCTTGAGTTATTGGTATCATCTTAAAGCATGTTCATTTGTCTATCGATTGATGAAAAAATTCCCATTTACCTTGAATAGAAGCTGATGTATTTGCAATTGAAAGAGGTGGGGGATCACCTGATTTCAGAGGTAAAATTAACGAGACAAAGGCCACCAAAGTTTGATTATTTCTTTAGCTTAAGAGTGCTTTACTGAAAATTTACATGCTTTGAGCCTTTAATTAACGTTTTTCAATAAAATCCACACAGTAATGTGTTTTTAAACGGACATAAAAGATATAAGGCTAAAAGCAAAAATTTCATAAAATTGCCAAACCCGCCGAAAAGTGCCTAGTTCATTATTTTGACGAGCGCCTGATTTTACCACTATGCGTCACATATCGTCAGCCATCTGTTAAAATGTACTAAGCCCAACATTTTGAATTTTTTCAAAATTGCAATTTCTTAATCTGTGATATAAGTTGCATATGTTCAAAAGATATTTTTGGTCAAAATTGGTCGCCTTTAAGGACAAGCAGACTAACACAGATTTTGGCGGTTTCCGACATCAAAAGCGGGCATTGCTCTACCTATAGGAGAAGTTTGGTTTCATTCATGAGTACATTTGTTTGGTTATAGAGAAAACTCTCTTTGTCTTTTAAAGAAACTGAACAAGGGGCAAAAACTTTACCTTTGATTTTCTCAAAACAGCATTTTTCGAGATAGCTGCCTTGTGCTTGAAAGCGACCAATTCAAATTCTAAATGTTGAAAAAAGCAAACTAAAAATAGGCCTACTTAATATTGGTACAATAATTTGTTAAAAGAATGAAACAGTTCTTTCTCTCTCCTAAAAATGTTTGTTAAAGACTATATAAGCTTAGTCAGCCTGCATTTAACGGCTTGCTGACAATTTGATATGTGTCACGACGCTGTGGAATCAGGCACTCGTCAATTTTGGGGCATATGAAGTTATTGGTGTCATCTTAAAGGTTGTTCATTTGCCTGCTTCCGATGGAAAAAAAATATCCATTATATTGAATAGAAGTCGAGACATTTGCAATTGAAGGAGGTGGGGTCACCTAGTTTCAGAGAAAATGGCCACCAAAGTTTGGTGACTTCCATAGTTTGAGAGTCCTTGCAACCTGCAAATTTATATTTTTTGTGCCTTTATTTTTCCATAAAATCCGCACATAAAAGTGTTTTTGAACTGACATACAAGGTGTTAAGCCAAAAAAAAAAATGCGAAAAATGTGACCAAACTGGACGAAAAATTTATGTTTCTCGGATTTTATTATTTTTACTAGCGCCTGATTTTAGCCTGCTGCCTCACATATAAAAAAAAACAGTTCAGCTTGCATATTATGGCGAAACCACACAAAGTGAAAATTGTACATAGCGAGGAGATTTTCATGTCCCAAATTTCTACACATTCTTTGGATTCAAGGTGAAGTGATAAGAGTGTGGACAATGGCGGAGCAAAAGAACCAAAACGACATCTCGATCAGAGAAAAAGGCCGATCCTGGTAGAGGTGGATAAACAATTGAAGAGTGGTTTTTCAAAATTCAGTAAGTCAATTTTGACAAGCATATGGTTTCACCACAACGCCACACACATACATAGTTTAAAACAGCCATATGAACTGCTCACAGCCGAAAGTTCCGTATCCTGAACTCTAGCATTATTAAAATCTAAATCATTATATACTCATGTGCACCTAATAATACTTAAATGGGTCATGTAATATTATAAACTTGTGAGGCATCGAGGTGAAATCAGACGATTGTCAAACTTGACTTACTGAGTTTTGGAAAACCCCGCTTCAATTTCAAACACCCAAATCTGTAACTCTGAGTGGATGTGATCTCAACACACAGGTTAGTGTGGAATAGGGTCCATAATTCATGTAAAATTTGGACTTGAAGTCCAACTTTATTTATCTCCTTTGAAACTTGTGCTTAGAGAAATTTGTACATACTGAAAAGATTTTCACATCCTACTGATTTCGCTATGTGCATGCCAGATTGTACAAGCTAACAATCAATGTGCTCATGAAAAGTTGTATTCGGGAAAGCATCTTATCTATTTGTGTCATGACGCGGTGGAATGATAATAATAATAATAATAAATAATAATAAATTACACTTTTATTTGTCCCAGAAGGGCACTTTGTTTTACAATGGCAAACATACATACATAAATACAAAATTATAGATACGTACATACATAAATACATAATTATAAATATGTATATACATAAATACATACATGCATAAATACATACATAAATATACACACTAATACACAAAATACAGAACAGTTAACAATAATGCCACTGTCGTTCGCCACTGTGCAGCGCCCTGTATTTTGAGCTAGGGTTGTCGTGTCTTGCTCAAGGACACACTCCAGTGACTACCCATCTGATCCCCAGGTCACCAACACTTGCTTGACATTGCTTGAGTCTAAACTCACTACTCACTTAGCCACTGGAGCCCCCAAATCAGGCGCTCATCAATTTTTGGGATTTGTGGAGTTATTGGTATCATCGTAATGCTTGTTCATTAGTCTTGATTTTTAAGGGGAAAAAATCTACCTATCGTGAATAGAAGTCAATATATTTGCCACTGAAGAAGGTGGGGTCACCTGGTTTCAGAGCTAAAATTAGCGAGAAAATGGCCACTTATAAAGTTTGATGACTTCCAAAGTTTGAGAGTCCTTGGAAACAGAAAAGTTACATTTTTGTGACTTTAATCAATGTTTTTCAGTAAAATCCACACAAAAATATATTTTTTAATCAACACATAAGATATTGAGTCAAAAAACAAATTATCGATAAAAATTACAAAACTGGCAGAAAAATATTTTCTTCGAATTCATTATTTCGACAAGCATTTGATATCACCACAGTGCCTCACATTTGGTTTCCCATCTGTTTAGTTCATCCAGTCAAGGCTCTGAGACCTCTATTGCTGTTCTTCTTGTCAACCCTATGGCCATGGCGGGTCCTTCGAAACACCTCCATTGCAGTCACTGTGTCCTGTGAAAACAATAAAAATACAGTGACATAAAATACAAGAAAAGTGTTAGATTTGAACCCACAGGGTAAAAGATCAAGGGGAAGACCTCGTGGAACCTGGAGAAGAGTCACGGAATTGGATGTACAGAAAAGTGGGAAGACGTGGAGTGACATCAGGGTGACTAGCCCAGGATAGGGAAAGGTGGAGAGTGTTTGTTCGTGGCCTATATCCTGCTCCAGGGTGAGAAAAGCAATGATGATGACATTAAATACATCTTCAAAATAGCCTTTCAAGTCACAAAGTGTCTCTTTAACTGGTAAATACGCAGCTCAATAGGTAGGATGTTGAACAGTAGAAAGGGAGAGAGTGACTCAAAACTTCTAGGGGGGGGGGGGGGGGGGGCTTTTTGTAGAGGTTTATTTTATTTATTTATAGTTTCAGACTCTATAGCTTTTCACCACCTCGGTCACTTCCAATTAAATTAGAGGTCCCGCCTATTGAATTACTCTTTCTGAAGCATTAAACCTAAACTACACTGATCTTTAAAAAAAAAAAAAACATTTGGGCTCAGAACGCAAACACCTTAATTAGGGATTGACAATTATGTTTGACACATCCGTACTTTGGGTTAACCAATAATGACAAATCAAAAAGACATCAGTCAGGGAATAGTAAGCTATACAGCTACCAATGATTTTGAGTTTTCTTCCACATTTTCATGTTATCTATGCCTCTCTGTAATAGTAAACAATTAAGAAGCCAACATGGAGAACAGAGATCTGAACACTGGACCAATGTAGGCCTACTGGTCATCTCAAATTTGCAAGGGAACAGATGGAAGTCTGTGCAACATAAACATTTCTTAGTAGTAAAAAGTGTATTGGCTTAACACCCCTATCAACATTACCAGGAAGAGGTGGAACTGGAACCTCCGAATTTGTTTGCTCTAGTTAGGTTTTACGGCGCTCTCTATTGCATAAGGTCATATGAGGGTCAAGAGGTGAAGGTCAACAAAGAAGTCGAAACACAGAATCAAGCTTACTCCACTCACTTGTCTAGCCATAACAGCACAAAGTTTGCTTTGACTATCAAGGCACCCCGGAAATAGCAGTTCACAACAGAGTGACAAACATACAAGAGAAGTAGAGGAAAAGTGACAATAGTAAGGATGAGGAAAGAAAAAGTAGCAGTTCCCCCTATGTTGTTCCAGCACAGTATGAGCATGACATTGATACATCAGCTCATTTACAATTCTTCTGTGCATAAGAACATATTAATATGTTAATAGCCCCCTTTTGGGAATGGCCTAAAGACAACTTCAGTCATTAGCACTGCCCAGAGGAGGGGGGGGGGGGGCTCCGAATTTAACATCTGTCTCCAACAAGATCAAGTCAAATGGGTTGAGAGCCTTGAAAACTCCCCAAAATGACCTGAGTTCAAGAACACTGAGGCTGGGATTCAAATCAGGGTGAGGGGGTGGGGGAAGAAAGTTCAACTGTTCTAAGCCCACAAAACAAACATTTTCAGGAGAGAGAAATAGCCTTTTCATTTTTTGAAGATTTGTGCCTACATTGCTATAGATCTTTTTTTTTAATGCTTTTTTTCAGTATTTACAATTCAAATTTTGACAAGATATTTCTGCTCTTTTTTTTCATAATAGTTTTATGGCACTTGCAACACAATAAGGTCATATAAATGTCGAAGATTAGAGGTGTTACAAGGGAGTAACAAACACAAAAAAAGAAGGAGGGGAGATAAAGATGATAGATGTTTGATAGGAAAGAAGGAGCAAACCACACCAGAGCACCCACAGATATTTCTTAAGCACAAGTAACAAATGCCAAAGCTTAAGAACCTGCAATAAAAGATTTCAAAATTTTGGGCTTAATGCGTCTGAACAGTTGGTCTGTGATCTGTTTTTCAATTTTACTCATTAACTCACTGAAGACAGAAGGATTTACTATACTATAAACAAGCACCGAAGACTGAAGGTTTGGGGGGGGGGGGGTTCAAAACTGTATAAAATCTGGACCATTTAGCCAAATGCAATGCCTTTTTGGCACAATCAAGAACAATAAACGTGTCAAAGCACAAGTGTTTATCTCTGCCACATTATTTGTTACGATTTTCGGAAAAAATGTATAAAATTCAATGTTCCACAAATTTACGAATAAGAAAATAGGAATATAGACAACCACTGCATTTACATCACAAGCAGTCTTAGTAGTCACCTATCTAAAAATGCTCTGAATCAAAAGGTTATCAACCAATTTCCCCCAAAAATTTAGTGGAATGAAGCAAATGGTTACACATACGTCTAAGCCGGATTCCATGCTTTTAGCAGCATTTATATATGGACACTGTCGGCAATAATGACCATCCCACATTTTCCACAGGAATCCTCTCACAGAACAGACAGAACATCCAGTGTTTTTAACGGGAAACATCTTCAGTGAGTTAATCCACCCCTTGTGGCACGATGGATCACAAACTTAGTTACACACACAGATGTACAGATAAAAAAAATTGTCCAATTTACATCATTCTTTCACAACAAATTTCGTTCAGCATTGTGTCAATAACTTTTATCGAAAAGATATAATTAATTTAAGGGTGACCTTATTTTTACGCCATATGCAGCCCAAATAAGCACTACAGTGACTGGAGAGCTTCCATTGCAAATAGACACCTCCTAAGGATTACATGGGTGTTCTGCCCTGGTCACGTCGGGGTGCACGGAAATGAACATGCTGATAAACTTGCCGGCAAAGCAGCACCCAATGGCCGAATCATGCTCGACCCACCAATGGTGATCGCCAGATGCAAGGAGAGCATTCATGACCAAGAGGAAACAGACTCCCACACACTCAGCACAATAAGAGAAAAGTGTGAGTGGGGCATAAGGAAAAAAAGTAAACTCCCAGGAGTGGTCAGGCATGAATCAAACCAGCTCCTCATGGAGACAATTAGCAGGAATTAGACCCTGAGGTGGACGCTGGAAAGGAAAGATGCGCAGCTATGGACATGTGCCGCCTGCATAATTCTAGTACTTTTCTGTACATCGATTTCTGTGATTTTTCTCCAGGTTCCACGAGGTCTTCACCTTGACCTCTTGCCCTGTGGGTTCCAATCCAAGTCTTTCTTTGTTATGCAGCTGCCTGACTTCCTGAGAGTATGTCCAATCCATCGCCACCGCCTTCTTCCTACCTCATCTCTGACTAGGATCTGTCTTGTTTTCCTTAACACTTCCACACTGGTGACCCTGTCTGTCCATCTGATCCTCAGTATTTCAGCTACATATTTCAATTTAATCTAAAACCATCCCTTATTTCAGCTACATATTTCAATTTAATCTAATATCATCCTGTTTACTCACTCCATTAAGCCTGCGCAGATATTCTCGCATCATAGTGAGGACAACGCGATCATCTGACGCCTCTGATTCTCCAAGCCTCCAATGGTTTTTTTCTGGAGCTGCCCTTTGATTTTGCCTTTTGCCTGTGTGGAAAAGAACCAAAAAAATATTCATTAACTCAGTTAATAACCAAGCTTTTTGGGTAAATCTGCGCAATAGTCTAAAGACCTTACCATTTTTTTTTTTCTAAATAAATACTTTGTATCTTATTTCCTTTTTCGAAGACTCAGTCCAAATCATAAGTAACTCATTCAAATTTTTCAGGAGGTAAAGTTTGCAACTTTAAAGCAAATATCAAGGTAAAAATGTATACGAGTTGGTTCATTAACAAAGCACATAGGCCTAAACAAACACAAATTCATCAAACCAACCCCTAAATTAAGATTCATTATAGGAAAAAGGCGCTAGAAAGAGTGGAGGCAACACCATAACAAAGTACTGGGGCAAAACTGAGAATACTTTGGGAACCAAGCAATAATGCAGAAATTCAAGGGTCAAATCTTGGCAAGGGAAGGATGAGAGAGAGAGGGGGTGTAGAATAATAAGGGGGCTTTCAAATATAATTTTAACGTCTAGGCTAGAATGAAGGGGAGGGGGGGGGGTGTCTTTGGCTCCTGTAAGAAAACTGTAAGAAAGGGGGGGGGGGGGGGGGCTTGAACCAATGTAATATTACACTTTTTTTCGTACATGAGTCCCAATTTTTTTCTTATTAGTAAGAAAGAGTGTGTACAATGTTTTGCTAGAATAATTTACTTTATTTTTCAGTGAATGTAGAACTGCATTATTAATTATGTGCATGTATGCGTGTATGCATGTTTTTCATGAATATTATGTAAAGCACATAGAACAATGGCTGTAACATGGATTTGTGCAATATAAATGTCATATTATTATTATTATTATTATTATTATTATTATTATTATTATAAGTGAACATGCAATATTACTGGATTGGGGAGGGGGGGGGGGGGGTTGGTAAGAGGCAAATGTAACAAAAGTATAAAAAGGGGGGAGGGGGCAGAAAGCCAAAAAAAAAGGTGTAAGATTATATTTGAACAGTCCCTAATGACTTGGTGCTAACCCACCCGGCGATCTACTGCGATAATGTGGTCTGCCAAACGTCCCGCCTTATTGATCACGGTCTACCGTAATAAAGTGCTCTGCCGTATGGCCTATGCAGGGTAATTTTACACATTTTTGTAGTCTCACTTCCACATCCTGATGCATTACTTGTTTAACCCTATCCGTACAGTGTGTTTTACATTTTACTATCGTATCCATACGACATGGGGAACTCTGTGCCACCACTTAACCCTATCCGTACGGCGTTTTGTACTATTGTATCCATACGACGTGGGGAACTCTGTGCCACCACTTTTTCAAGAGGAAATTTACTTGTTAATCCGATCCATATGCTTTGCATAGCAGTCTGTCAAAATGATTTTTGGAAAAATATTGAAAGCTTCAAAAAAATATTCCCCCTAGAAATATTCTAAAATGTGAAGAATACAACCCTGGGAGAACAAAATGACCCCAGGGAGTACGGATAGGGTTAAACAAACGAAGAAGTGGAAAAGACTAGAAGGGAAGGGAGTGAGCCGAATGGGGGGGGGGGGGGGGGGGGAGAGAGCTTACCCACTGGACATCTCAGGAAGGTTAGCAATCGGTTGTTGACCACTAGTGCATCGTACATTTTTTTCAGGACATTGATGATCCCGTACGGCACCGGGGCATTCTGCACATCTACACGGATCTGCGTGGCGCTGGCGTTCAAAATGGCCTGGTTGTTTGGGGCGGGGTGGGGGGGTTGTTGTTGTTCATCGTTTTTTATTTGATTTTGGTGTAATTGTGTTTTTGTTTTGCAGGGGTTTGGGGATATTTTCAGCATGTTGTTTTGTATAATATATATATATTGAGTGTGTGCATGTGTGTATGTGTGTGTTTGTGTGTGTGTGTGTGTGTGTGTGTGTGTGTGTGTGTGTGTGTGTGTGTGTGAGTGCGTGTGTGTGAGGGTGTGGAGAGATAAAGAGTGGGAACGGGGTGGGGTGGGTGAACAATATCATGAAATTATTTTCTTACGTCACCTTCAGGCTTACATGCGTTCTGTGCTTTATTCATTTTCATTTCTGAATGAAAAAAATCTTCAAGAAACATGAGTATTTAAACTTCCCCCCATGTATTTCCACCACAGCGGATTTTAAGTGGGAATTAATTTCCTATTGAGAACAGCTGTCAAGCTACAATGAAAAAAATGTTTTACTGAGTGGACTCGTCATCATCCGGAGCCTTGCCGACTGGCGTGGCCGATCATGGACCTCCACTTCACTGTCTTGCATTGTAGCAATGGTGTCTGTTGTTCTTGCTGCTCCTAGCCATGTTGTCATCTTTTCTAGTATCTTTTCCCTCTGTCTGCCTCTGCCTCTCTTTCCATCAAACTTGCCTGTTGTGACAATATTCTCCAATGCTTCTTTCCGCATTGTGTGTCCGAAGAAATTTGCCTGTTGCTTTCTTATATTCGTCATAAGCTGTCTTCTACAATTTGCTTCAACCAAGACTTCTTCATTTGTTTTTCTAGCTGTCCATGAGATACGTAGCATGCGTCTTATGAACCACAACTCTGTCGCCACAATTGTTCTTTCCAGCTGTTTATTGATTGTCCACGCTTCGCACCCGTATAATAGGATTGGCTCAATGTAACTTTTCAGTACTCTTTTTCTCGTTTCCAGTAACAGATTGATGTTTGTTAGTATGTACCTGTTTCATTTTGTGGAAGGTTGCTTTTGCTTGGCAAATGCGGCTTTTAATTTCGGTGTGACATCTCCCATCTGATGATATAATGGTCCCCAAATATTTAAAATGTTGTATTTGCCCGAGGGAGGTATCATTGATTTTGATATTGCATGTTGGGGTTGGAGTTTTTTTTGCTTATCACCATTGTTTCGGTTTTCTGGATGTTTAGGCTTAAGCCCATGTTGTCACTCTCTAATGAGTGTACTGCTGATACTTCAATAACACCATCTACTTATTTCTTCAGCTATCAAAGTTGTCTTTTATTTTATTGCCATTTGAAAAGAACATTTTTTAACTCTTTCTTCTTTAACTGGTTTCTTCTTATTTCCTTGATCTAGGAAAGAAACTCATGTGTTCGAAGGAGCATCCTGAGCAGGAGATCAGAGAGCATAACACGACCACAGGTTTGTTTTAGACCTCCCGAACAGAAAGTACTCTATTATATTGAACAGCACGTGTAAAGAACAGTAGAAAATTGCAACAAGGTTGGCTGAAAATTCAGCCAACCAGCACTCTCAGATTTGAAAATTGCAGAGAACGAAGGGTGCTGATTGGCTGTACTTGCCACCATGTTGAAATCTACTTCTTTCACTTTTCAGATTCCCATGAGGGGTCAATTTTTATCAAGTATCAGATAGTGCTGGAAATTTCTTTCTTAATTGGTAGACACTGTTATTTTAACCCTTCGAGCCCCAGCCATTTTTGTGCACTCCCTAACCCCAGTCCCAGCCAATACAGAAGTATTTTTGAAAAAGAGGCATGCATTCTAAAAAGTGATGTAGTATCTTTGTAATGAGGTTTAGATAATAACATATAACAATGTTTAAAGGAAAATGAACAAATATTATGAAAATCAAAGTTTAATTAGGTTCACTAATTTCGAAAAAAGTGCAAATCCGGTACACCCCGAGCCTGAGAATATACGCTCTTGGGATGGTGGGAGATAAAAGCACTGCTGAAAATGTGAGGCAGCGTGGTGGAATCAGGCTCTCGTCAATTTTTGGGCATATTGAGTAATTGGTATCATCTTTAAGCTTGTTCATTTGTCTTGATTTCAATGAAAAAAACTACCCATCCATCTTCAATAGAAGTGGAGATATTTTAGATTGAAGGAGGTGGGGGTCAACTCATTTAAGAGATAAAATTAGTGAGAAAATGGCCACCAAAACTAGGTAAATTTCAAAGCTGAAGAGTCCATGGAAACTGTAAATTTATATTTTTGTGCCTTTAATCAACGTTTTCGGTGAAATCCTCAAAAGGAATGTGTTTGTAAACGGACAGAAAAGGTGTTGAGGAAAAAAAAATTTGATAAAAATTGTAAAGCATGGAGAAAACTGCTGTTTTCTTCGATTTCATTATTTTGACGGGAGCCTGATTCCACCACGCTGCCTCACAAATATAGATGCATGGGGTTGGAAGGGTTAAGACAATAGCTTCCATTCATTAAGAAACAAGGCACCATACACATAAGAAGTATTGAAAGCTGAAAAGTGATTTTTATGGCTTTCCTCAGTGTAATAGCACAGCAGGGACAGAATGGCACTGAGGGACAGAATTCCAATTTTCCTCTTCTTGAAAACAGTAGTGGCATCAGTAGCCTAGTGGTTAAGCTACCGGACTCGTAATCGTGAGTTCGGGGGTTCGAGCCTCAGCTTGGTCCAATGTTGTGTCCTTGGGAAAGGCACTTTACACGAACTTCCCACTTGGCTCGGTCCTATCGGAGACGGACGTTAAACTAGGAGGTCCCGCCCCTTAAATAATCTAATAGTGTTGATAGGGGCGTTAAACATATAGCATTTTGAAAACAGTGGTGAACCAAAAGAAAATTAAAGCCCCTATATTTTTAAGAAAAGGCAGAGCTCCAAACTTTGTTCTTCTATCAAGGCAACGACTCTAAACTGACTGAAAATTTGGCTAAACCAAAGAAAAACCACTGGTCCCCAAAATTTCAATTTTAGCGCACTTCACTGTAAATGAAATCTTTAAGTTTAGTTTAAGTAAGAGTTTTACGGCACTCGCAACTGCATAAGGTCAAATGAGTGCCAGAAGATTAGAGGTGTTACAAGAGAGTAACAAACATCAAAAAAGAAGGAGGAGAGATCAGGACGATAGCTACATGTTCAATAGGAAAGAAGAAGCAAACCACACAAGAGCACCCGCCAACCACCTACAAATGAACTCTTACCTGAAACATGGTCAACAAAACAAAGACAAGTGTGAACGATAGTAGTATGAAGTATATCCGTACAACAACCGGTGGAGCTTGTTCTAGATTTTTGATGACGTTTTTTCCCAGCAGCAGATACACAATAGTCACAAAGGTGTTCCACATCGACATGAAATCGTCTTCAGTTGAGTGGAACAACACGTAGCCTGTTTCGAAGTTTCCGTGTGAATAAAAATAGAAGCATGTTGACGTTTTAATGGTAAATCAATAGAAGATGAGTATGTTAGGAAGATAGATAGATGGATAGACAGATAGATAGAATGACAGACAAACCAACAAACAGATAGGTAGATAATTTACTAAAAAACGTTGATTTAAAACACACACAGACCACATACATATACACACACACACCACGCACACCACGCACACACACACACACACGCACACACACACAAACACATGCACCAGACACACACACACACACATATACACACACACAAACACACACACAAGCACTCATACACACACTCATACATAGACAGACAGACAGACAGACAGACAGACCGACAGAAAAATGTAATTTGGAGAGACAGACAGACGGATAGACAAAGGAGTAAAAAGACTGAGTTGATACATGCACTGGTAGTTTTATTTTTTTCAAGTAAAAACTACAAAGAAGTGAGAAAAGGATGCTCCAGGATGCATTTTTGAACCCCTGCCATTTGAAAAATTGATATCTCTCATTAGCCACATTATATAGCCTCTGTAGTGTAGTAGTTAGGTGCTTCACAGTTGTCTACAGGAGAACCAAGTTCAATTCCTGAGTGGTGAGAACTTTTTTATCAAGAATCTCGGTCCTTCTGCTGGGATGTTGTATCTCTCTCAGCTCAATTTGGCCCCGTTTTGTTTATATCAGTAGAGGTTTTACAGTGCTCGCAACAGCATTAGGCCATGTGAGCACCAGAAGATCAGAGGTGTTACAAGAGAGTTACAAACATAAAAAAGAAGGAGGGGAGATAAGGACGATAGATGTTTGATAGGAAAGAAGAAGCCAACCACACCAGAGCACCCGCCAACAACCCACTTGTATAACGTAATTGTATTAAAAGCAAGTGCCAAGAAACTCTAACTAAAACTACTCCAACTAAAACACAACCTGATTCCTGAGCCGTACCTAACATAACGAAGACACCAATCATCAAGAGGTAGAGGAAGGAGAAAGAGAAGAGGTCCTTCCCCGCCCGCTGCAGCACGGCAGCGATTGTTGTGACACGCTGAAAGAAAAGGTCAAGGTCAAGACAACAATAAGAGCTGCGGTCAAAAGGATGAACTGAATCTAGGCCATTCATTTGACAAAAATTAAAATCTTCATCATCATCATCTTCCTCCTCCTCCTCCTCCTCCTCCTCCTCCTCATCATCATCATCATCTTCATCATCATCAACATCATCATCATCATCCTCCTCCTCCTCATCATCATCATCCTCATCATCATCATCATCATTATCATCATCATCATCATCATCATCATCATCATCATCATCAAAAAATAATAGGCTAATAACCTTAATAATAATAATCGTCATCATAATCATAATAAGAAAAGAAAATAAGGATAATCAAAGGGAATAAAATTCATATTCATTTAAGAATCATTATACTATAATCGACAATAATTATAAAAATAAAATCACAATTACAATAATACTCGTAATACTTGTATTATAATAATGATGATGATGATTAGGATAATAATAAATGATAATAATATCAATAATAATAATAATAATAATTATGATAACAATATTACTTCCAAGGTGAGGTGAACAACATATACAATATTTTGTTTTGTACGATGTGTCTTTCCTTAACATTCTAACTAGTAGGCTCTCCACCACACAACTGGTCGCTTTTAAGCACAAGGGGGCTATCCCGAAAAAAGCTGTTTTGAGAAAATCAAAGGTAATGCTTTTGCCTCTTGTTCAGTTTCTTTAAAAGACAAGGAGAGTTTTTTCTATAACCAAACAAATATACACACCAATGAAACCAAACTTCTCCGAAAGGTAGGGCAATGTCCACTTTTTGTGTAGGTCAAGATTTCTGAAAACTCTCGAAAATCTGGGTTAGCCCACTTGTCCTTAAAAGCAACTGACTGTAAATGCCCAAGTACTTATCAGTCAACAACACAATCCGTACTGCTGGTAAAGTATTGCACTTACACACAGTACGACCATGCATAACATGTATGTCTTTATTTTTCTGTTAATTCACCCACCGATTCATCAGTCTCTCTCTCTCTCTCTCTCTCTCTCTCTCTCTCTCTCTCTCTCTCTCCATCCATCCATCCATTTTAAATCCATGGTAAAAATTTTGTAACTTAAACAACCTATCCATCTATCAATCTATTCATTTAACCATCAAACGGTTCCTACTACGGTGAATCCTTATATGTGAAAAACTCACTGTTAATCTTTGACATAATACTTACAATAAAAAGGATAATAAACTGAATTTATATAGAGCATACTGCTACGTAGGCAAAATGCACTAGTCAGTTTATCTTACCTGATTGTAACCAAGAATTCTCAGGATCCTCACTGTACTCAAGAACACAACAAATGCTAGGATCCAGCCGAAAATGTCGTCGTATATAGCAAGGGCATAAAAGTTCACGAAGAGCTGGAAGGTGGAAATTCTGTGAGTAGTATCTTCAGAAGGTTTATTGCACATGTACACACATGTAAAAGAAATGGTGAAAATATAAACTTAATAATATCAAGAACTCTTGACAAATCTTTAGTTTTAGTTTTAGTAGAGGTTTTATGGCGCTCGCAACTGCATAAGGTCATATGAGGGCCAGGAGATTAGAAGTGTTACAAGAGAGTAGCAAACATAAAAAAGAAGAAGGGGAGATAAGGACGATAGATATTTGATAGGAAAGAAAAAGCAAACCACACCAGAGCACCCGTCAACCACCCACTTTGACAACTCTAACAATAGCTCTACAACCCCAGAAACATCATGGTTTTTTGCAGATAACTTTTGGCTGCCTTCACCGATTTTTATTATAAACTTTTACCAGTAATCTTGTATCAATTTGTCTTAATTTATATATAAATAAATGGTTCTGGGCCGAGTACTAATATGCCATTTTTATCTTTGTCTTTGTCAAAAACTATTGATAAATTTTGTTCCTAATTTCAAATGTCAATCTTTGAGTTCACATTATTTTTCATGATGTCGAATTCAAATCTCAAACTCTGTACCTTTTTTTCATTTTAAGCCATAGCTAAAAAAACATCCTGCTCAGTAGAAGTGTGGATTTGTTAGAGCCACATACTTCCAAACCAATACTGATGTTCATATGGGGGGGTTTTTTCATAGATTTTTTTGAATGCTCGAAATGTGGCAAACTTTTCTCTACAAGAAATGGTCTCATCAGCCAAAGCAGAAGTTATAGTCATCTTAACCTTGAATTATTCCATTTCACTTGAGAAATATTTTCCCTGCAGATGCATTGGCCATTGTCAGACATTGATGGACAAACTATAGTTATTATCATTATACAATGACTCAGTCTAAAAATATGGCGCGTGTAATGATGCGGACCAGTGCTTGTCGTACAAGCACACCCACTTTTGCCAGCATAAACCCTTTGAGCCCCACACACCAGTACACCGGAGGTGGGTAAAATTGCCTGTATGCCTAGCCGCCAAAACAATGGTGAGCGAGACCCTATACCCCACCCAGTCCATCTGGGACAAAACACGCACAGAAAACAGTGTTTACAACATAGGACGTAATTGATTATTTTGAAGATCTTTCTGAATCAGAAGCTGGTAATGGTATGGGTTTATCGCCCTTATCAACACTAATAGGTTATTTTAGAGGCGGAGCATCCTTGTTTAACGTCCGTCTCCAAAAAGACCGAGCCAAATGGGACATTCTTGTAAAGTGCCTTTCCCAAGGACACAACGTCAGACCGAACTGAGGCTCGAACCCCCAAATCTGCAATCTCACAATTACAAGTCCGGTTGCCTAACCTCTAGGCTACTGACGCCACTAACCTGGTAATGACGAGGACTACTCTGAGTGGGATATAGAAAATGATTCTGACAATCATCTGAATGAAGGTGTGAATCCCA